TAGCAAATTACAATATATTTTTTCTACTGATTCTGATGTTAGATAAGTAATATCCTCAAAAGGCAGTGTTTGCTTTAGGCAAAAGTGCCTTTGTTGAGTAGCTCAAGTTAGATGTTTCTCCAATGACATGTGCCAAGTGACACAAAGCCAATGAGGAGTACAATTAGGCAATTTCCCTTTGGTGAAGAGTGTGTTTCAATAATTGAAAATTATTTGCTTTATATATTAGTATATTTGAATATTGATTTTATTCTCATTGAAAGAGGATAAAGGGAAAGTAGATTCTCAAGGTAAATTATAACTTTCATAGTGAGAAATGTTTTAGCTTTTTAAATATTCCTTCAGTGGAAATCGTCGAGATGGAAGGAGCTCATTCATTTCAATTTATCTACTCCACTTATAAGTGGGAGTAATAATGGGTGACAGATGGATCTACTTTAATCATTTTGAAGGGGACAAAAATCTCATATCTGTATGTGTACTTTTATATATAATAAAAAGAAACTATATATATAATATATATATACATATATACACACACACACACACACACATAGATAGATAGATAGATAGATAGATATAGATAGATAGATAGATGGGAATATGTTATTTCAGACTTCACATCTACAAACTATTAAATACCATTATATGCAAATCAATGTGGTAGATACTAGGTAACCTTACAGACTGAATAAAGATTAAGAAAGGGAAATTGATGTTGTATAATGAGGAATTCAGAAGATTCTGTAAAGAGAAGTTTTCTGATTATTAGACTTTGAAACATAGGGGAAAGACCGGGCATTCACAGAGGAGTTTTCAGCATAAGAAAAAGACAAAAAATGGGTAGGATCTGTAATGGAGTAGGAGAGAAAAAAATAGGGTAAGTAATATAGGTTGTGAATTGGTGGAAAAACTTCAATATTAGCAGAAGCTAATCATAGACAATGCTATAACTTATAGTCTTAAGAGTGTTTTTTTTTAAGTTTTAAGAAAATGAAGTATCGCACAGAATCTAATACTCAGAAGAGTAAAGGCTGATGAGCACTTTTGCAAATAACAAAAGTCATGAGAGCCAAAAAGGCAAATTCATAAAAAATTTATCATAACAATTCTCATGTAAATTCCTCTTTAAAAATTACTTGTTAATCACCTCTCCATGAAAATGTTCCAATGTTTTATTCTCCGATTTTCAGTTTAAATTCTCTTTGGGAGCATGTTTGGCCTGATGTAACTATATTTATGCAAAGCATTGCATGTGTCTTACATGTAATCTAATTTAGACATTGTGACAATTACATCACTATTTTTATCACATGCCATAGAAATGCTTTTAATGCTCATTTAAATTCATGGTCATTAACTTATTAATCAACCTGCAAGTTTTGAGGCTTTACTTTTATTATTATGTTGCAATATGTATGTAATAACTAATATACAACATAATTTGTGGTAAGCTCTTAAAATATCAGAAGATTTTTAGCCTTTTAACTCTCAACTAAATCTCAACAAGCATTATTACCACAACATTTTCTACAGCCAGCGATAATAAACACGATGAAACAAATCTCTCAACAATATCTTTATAACTTAGTTTTAGTGCTCTTGAATATAAATAACCCTATACACTAGCCTTATGACAGTTTGTTTCCAATTCTCAAAATTGTGTTTATATTAAACTTAAATTCCAACCTAAAGTACATTAAAAAATTACTGCATCCTTATTAATATAAATTAAAGGTTGATATTATAATTATAATTTCCTACAGAAAAAGTCATATATGTTTAAGAATAAAACTTAAGAGTCCTGCATAATAAAAATAAATTACAGGCATGACATTTTCTTAATTGAAATTCAATTTATTTCCAGGACGTATAAACCTGTATAAAAATAGAACAGAATAATGCTCTTTATTTTTTTTTCATAATCATACTTAACATAGAGAAGGATATTCAGTCCTGACTAAAGTTGCCTCTCTCTAGATGACAAAATTAAGAATATTGTTACTAAATTACATAAATAACTTCACTTAATAATATACAACATGAAGAGCTATTTAACCTGTTAACTGAGTGGGACCTATAAATACATCAAATGTAAACAATATCGGGAATGGGTAGGGCGTATGAATACGTCCTGGAAATATATGTTGCGCCCTGAGAGGGATGGTATATATTTCTTGTAATCTTTATAATTGTTTGTAAAATTTTTAATTTTTTAATTCGATGTTTCTATTTTTTTGTTGGTATTCTTTTCTATTTTTTTGTAATTTTGTATTTCCCTTTGTGCTTTATATATAAATAAATGAAAATATATATATATCATTTATTTTAATTAAGTATAAATAAAATAATAATAATAATATGAAATTACATCCTCCGGGCATTACGTACTGACACATCCTAGTGAAAGAGTACGCGCCCATTACAGGTTGCATAATTAAAAAGGGAACTCCCTGGTTAACAGGTTAAGAGCCCTTTTAAAAGGGTCAAAAGTAGAACTTTCAGGTAACCTTACACACAAAAGTGCTTGCTACTCCAATAGGTTGCTCTCTGAGCTCCATTGCCAGACTTAATCCTACACAAAAGGAGTGGGTTAATCCTCATGTGCATCTGAGAAAACTGAGCAGTCCCATTCATCTAAAAATAGCACCGAAACTAATACGTCTGAATAGTCTTTTATTTAAACACTAGAGGCCTGGTGCACAAAATTCTTGGGCTGGTGGTGGTGGTGTCCCTCAGTCCAGCCTGAGACCCCTTGCGCCATACCACCTGCCAGCTTATGCTCCTTACCACAGCTCACTGCTCCTTAGCACTGCTGTGGAGGCAGGAGAGGCTCCCACCACTGCCATCCATGAGCCTGGCTTCTGGCTGAGCAGGGGAGCGCACTGACCACCGGCGGCAACTCCTGAGTTGAGTGTCTGCCTCCTGGTGGTCAGTGCGCATCATAGTGACCAGTTGTTCTGGTCATTCTGCAAAAACAGTTGTTAAGGCTTTTGTTATATGAATTTAAATTTACATATAAATATTACATCTAAGATATTAGAGACACAGCATCAACTCATTAGCATTCATTGTCTAACAGAAGCTGTTTATAAATACCCCTATTTCATGGAATCCAAATGACCAGTTTAGAGAGATGACAATATAAACACCATTTCTCCCATCCCAGGTCACTCCTCCACACTTTACTCCCAGCATTTGCACAAACACACATGTCCTAGAACATCTTCCCTTCAGGAGTTTTACCAGACCAAAGCACTTGAATTCTGGCAAGATACAGAACTGTTCCTTTATTCTTATGATGGGAGTAAACACATTTTGTACTCTGAATACACAATGTTAGAAATCCTACCCTTGTAATTGAATTTCCCCTTTCCACCCAACTTTCCCTTTCCTACATTCAATTCAAAGTGTGTGTCTCCATGTCTTAAACAAACAAAAGACTAATAAAACAACAGATGTATATATACTTTTAAATGTACATGAACAAAAAAATAATTTCACAGGAATGAATCCTGGATAGTCTGAGCTCCTTTTATCCTTTTATTCTAGTAGGTATGGATCCTTGACTCTCCCCACTGGCTTCAACTCATTTCATGTGGTTCTTTCTCTCTCTTACTGTGTCATCACCATCCACTCCCCCTCAACAAGCACTTTTCTACTCCTTCTCTCTTATGCCTACATCGCAGAGCTCAGTGTGAACATCTTCCACATACAGCCTAGGTATCAGTGCTCGTTGCAATGTGTCTCTGTGGGGAGTCAGTTAATAGTTCTATGCAAAATGCAGCTCTCCACTGATGTCATTAGCCATTTAAAAATATTTTATAGATTCCATTAAAATTTTAGTATAGCTAAAACTTGAATAGAGTGCCTACAATTCCAAATCGCCTTTAGGAGAGAGAAGCTGCTTCCTTAGGGATTTACGTCTCCTTTGAAGAATCAACTAAAATCAGAAGTACGTAGAAACACCCAATTTGTAATTCAACCTAACAATTTATTTTTGCTCAGCTGCAAATTTAAGGTCAGAAACAAGTTTTCTGCTGATGTCCATTAAATTTAAATGCTACCTTTGTTTCAACGCTCATTTGTTTTCAGGAATTCAACAATTTGTCAAAACTAAAACCCAATCAGATTCAATTAGAAAACAGTCTAATATACATTTCAATAAATCTCATGCATATACATATGGTAACATCCTATCTTCATAGCTCCATAAATATCGATAGATAGATGGGTATATCACAATTCTAACCTTTTAGAAACTTTATTTTTTTAAAAAAAAAAAACTCTTTTAGATAGTACCTTTATTCATAAAATATGCACATGTATATCTGTAGCTTACATTTTATTTACCCATATATATCATTAGTATAAGTATTCATATTTTTAAGCCAACATATGTAAATAAATCACATAGCAATCTCAAAATTTAGCAACTATATATGCAACTGGTAAGCATAATCAGGCATGCTATTCAACAACTGTATGATATAATTCAGTCTTTCCAAAGAAAATATGATTTGTATGATGGTGTCTTCATAAAACTCAAAAGAGTTTGAGAGGAATTTGAATGGAAATTTTTTGTATATTCAAAAAGTAATATGTAAAATCATCTGACTAATGCTTGAATAAAAGGAAATTCTTATCACTGTCCTCTGACAAGAATCTAATTCTCTTATTGTAAATTTGAATAAACTAATTGGAGTTATTTCCAAACAAAGAGAATATAATCTCCTAGTTAAGATCCTATTCATATATTAAGATAAATGTGGTGTCAGAAAATTGACCATTACCCACAATATTTTGATAACCTAAAATATGTTTTAAATTTCTGTTACTTCATAAATATAGTAATCCTTACAAACCATTCCCTCTACTTCCAGATAATGATTTACTATTACGTATTCAATAGCTAAAACCAGTAATCAAGGAAACCTACGAGTTTAATGTATCAGAGTTAAACAGACTAAAAAAATATATCAATTCACAATAAGTATTACCTTGGTCTGATTTTTCATAAGAGAGTGCAGATCTCTTGCCAGGTAACACCATTTCTTTGGGTTCTGTGGGCAAAGAGAAAAGCGATTAATAAAAACAACCTTTCTTTTTACTCCTTAAGTGCTTCTTAAGGAAGATTCATTAGTAATAAAGGTCAGAGAAGAAAATCATTTAACAAAATATTCAGCAGCTGCCATGGGAATCACTTGCTTAAATGCCAAATAACTTCCCCAAAGGTCCCCTCGCCCTGCAGCCCAGAACAGGGGTGTCTGTGGCAGATGCTCAGCCCAGTCTTCTTTGCTTGTCTCCCTCTGCTCACATGGGAAAAGGTTCTCACTTGAGCAAGAAGCTTTAGCTCCCATCATGTGAAAAGATCAGATGAAAGCCATGTTGAGACAGAACATTTACTTGGAATACAACTGACTGAAATGGAATTTGCAATTATCTAAACTTACTTTCCTCCATCCCCCAGTGTGAATGGGTTTTTAAATATTCATGAAAGTTTGGTTGTTTTTCTATTCTGTTTTTCCACAAAAGTGATAAAATGAGATATTGTGAGAAGCTTCTGTAAATAATTGCAGATTACCCTTCTCGTGAGATACAATTTTAGAGCTTTTCCATGCTGTAGTGAGGAGGAAAGTACTTTACAGAAGTCAAAAGTTATGAAAATATATCTTATTCCCTCCCTTAGCATATAGCAATCTTGAGGAGTATCCCATAAAAGATTTTATTGCATCATTATCTGAATGTGCAGATTGGAGGATAAGAAATTCAAGACTGAGCAATAGCTTTCCAGAAAGGACTGTCATGTAGATAGGTGAGACATTTAAATTCACCCCTTAAGAACGTTATTTGAAGAAATGTTAACAGTTAAAAGCAACACTGATTAATTGGCTATAACAGTCATTATAAGAATAGTCATATAAATGCAATCACCATATCTTACTAGCTGTGTGAATTTGTGCAAGTAAATTAACCTCCATAAGCCTTCATTTTTCATCTGTAATACTGGTATAACAATTATTTCTACTCCATAGAGTTGATAGGATAAATAAATGAGATAAATATATATATATATATATATATATATATATAGATATAGATATATATATATATATATATATAGTAGGACATAGAACTAATGAATGTCAGCTAATATAATTATCAACATCATTATTACTCCTTTTTATCATCATTCACTTTTTAAAAATATGCATCATCTGTATCTTGCATTATATGTTGACCCAAAGTCAAATCTTCTTCCATTACCATAAATTTGCCTCCTTTTCCTCTTACTAACTCCCCCACTTGAAACCTAAATAATTTTATTAACCAATGTCACCCCAATAAATTTCACACTGGACGTTACCTAATTTGCCTACGGCTTAATCTGACTCTGATGGCAAAGGAAATGAAGGTATTTGGGCAACTGAGGAGAACAGATTGAGTAGCATTTCAGGAAGATGAGAAAGCTGCCAACTTCTTCACTGCAGTGGCTCCCCTTCATTTTGCTGAGGATTTTAGTTCAAAGAAGCCCTCCAAGAAAGTGTGCTAAACTTCAAGATTCACTTAAAGCAAATGACCATTTTCTACTCTTGGGAACACTCAATCCAATTCTGAACATAGGTGACCCTCCACTGCAAACTAGGGTTTATAACAGACTTTAGAGAAAGGGTAATAAATAAAAATGACTCAAGAGAAATGGTTTAGTGGAGGAAACATCTATAGAGAATTATTTCAAGGAACTGGTGAAAATACTTTCATTAAACAATAATGTGTTGAAGCAACAGGAAGTATTGAAGGAATATTCTGCTGTCAGGAAAGAGGTATTTAAATATAATCCTAAAAAATTAATCAGGACAGCTGAACTTGTACTCACTGGCTGACAATCAGTCCTGCTCACAAGACAGGAAGATAAGTAGGGATATGTCTTGCAATTATCTAAAGCTGCTTGGACAATACATTAGAGGAAGAGAAAGTGTACAAAAACATGACAAGCAGCTTATCATGGGGCTAACCTGCAGTGCACACTCTGCTTCTCCTCAACCTCTAATTAAAATTTTCAGTCTCTGCCATATGAATATTCATTTATATAAAAGTCTAAGCAACAATTGCAACCAAATAGATGACGGAACAGGCTGCATGAGGTGATCAGGCCGGCAGGGGGGTTTAGTGAGGGACAACCAAACAAATGAACAGCAGGCTGCGTGGGGCAACCAGGCCAGTGGGGGGGGGGGCATCCAGGCTGGCAGGGGGGAGGCAGTTGGGGGCAATCAGGCTGGCAGGGAGATGCAGTTAGGGGTGATCAGGCTGGCAGAGGGGGCAGTTAGGGGCGATCAGGCAGGCAAGCAGGTGAGTGGTTAGGAGCCAGAGTTCCAGGATTGTGAGAGGGGTCCTGAATTGGAGAAGGTGCAGACTGGGCTAAGGGGACCCCTTCTCTCCACCCCATCCCTAACCCCTGCACGAGTTTTGTGCACCCGAACTCTAGTACTAGTATAAAAAGAGGGTATTCTGCAGCCCAGCAAGGGGTTATCACCAGAACCCAGACTGCATTCCCACCCTGATCTTGGATTTCTAGCCTCCAGACTGATGGCAGGAAAGTGTTATTTCATGGCACCAAGTCAGGAGAGTTCCCATGGGAGCAGCAGCCAGCAGCATCAGATGAGGAAAGATTCCAATTTAATTTCCTAGGATGGTGTAGGATATTGGTATTCTTAAAGCTACCTAGGTGATTTTAATATGCATTTGGGGCTGATAACCCCCTGGGCTGGTGGCTACGCTCAAATTCATAACCAAAATTTTAAAAATAAAAAATCCATACACTTTATTCATGCTGCCTATGAATTCCCTACCCTAGATATTTGTTCAGTAAACGAACTGGCTTTAAATAAAATTAAGACACAAAATCAGGACTGAAGAGTGCTCAGGTTCTTGGCATTTAGACCGGTTATTGGTACCCTCCTGTCTAACTGAATATCAAGGGGATCTTTCAAGTCTTCCAACGATGAGCATCCCTGCACTGCTGCAGATGCATGGAGTGCCTCAAGCCTTCTCTGGATGTGCTCATGAGGACACTGAGGCTCAGGCATGGGCTTCTGAGGAAGTGTCCCACCTACACAATGACTTCAGGCTGTTGTCCACCATTCAGTGTCAGCAATCCCCACCTACATGGTCTACTGCAGAAACAGCATGTGCTAATGAGCTTTTCACATAGCTATCTTATTTAACCTTTGTAACAGTCTGACCATACTGGTATACATTTTCTCCCATTATATGGATGGGGAAAGTGGTGCACGTTCCTATCAGACAACTGATACCTTGAGATCCAGGGTTTGGTTGATTTCTATGCACTATGTCACGTGACCAGAGATTCCAATTTAATTTCCTAGGGCGGTGTTGGATATCAGTATTTTTAAAGTTGCCTGGGTGGTTCTAATGTGCATTTGGGGCTGAGAACCTCCTGGCCTGATGGCTAAACTCATATCCATAACCAAATTTACAAAATGAAAAATCCATACATTTCTTTATTCATGATGCCTATGAATTCCCTACCCTAGGTATTTGTTTACTAAACAAACTGGCTTTAAATAAAATGAAGTTTAAATTATACTGTTACTAAAATTGAAAAAGAAACGTTTCCGAGGGCATTAAAGAAGAGAAACACTGGCAGCACCACTGGGAAAGAAAATGGACAAAATACAGAGGTATCTCCAGTAGTTGCATCCCTGATAGGCATGATTAGGAAACACTGCTTCAGACTGAAAACTCCTACTGTGTATTGTGAAGGAGTACAGCACACATGATTAGAAATTAAGTAGGAAGGAACTTCGAGTCACACCAACAATGGCCCCTAACTTCAGGGTTCAGACACCAAGTAGAATTACACCTTTGTGGGTTGAACTGTTTCCCTCAACAGATATGTTCAAGTACCACCCTAGTACCTGTGAATGGGATCTCAAACAGTTTTTCTAGAGGTAATTAAAATGCAAGTTATGATGACATTAAATGGGATAGGATAAACTCTTAATCCAATATGACTGATGTCCTTATGAGACAAATATGAACACACACACACACACACACACACACACACACAAACACAAGAGAGAGTGTCATGTGAAGACAAAGACACAGAGGAAGCTCACCATGTGATTAGGGGTGGCAGAGATCACAGGGATGCATCTATAAGCCAAGAGTGCCAAGGAATTGCAGCAACCCCAGAAGCTAAGAGAAAGTTAATGGAGCAGATGATCTCCTAGAGCTTTCAGAAAGAACATGTTGACATCTTTCTTTTGGACTTGTAGCCTCCAGAACTGTGAGAAAACAAGTGCCTCTTGTTCTATGGCCAGTTTGTGGTCATTTGTTACAGTAGCTCAAGGATATTAAGGCAACATCTTTTGAGCCAATATGAACTAGGGTCTTATCTATATACCCTGATCAATTGGAGCTTTAAAAAATTCTTATAGTTAAATTAAGTCACTAAACATATTCTCAATTTGTAAATTAGAATACCCAGCTACATATAAAGAACTGATTTAAAGTTTAAATTGTGTCTCTTCCATACTTGGGATCTGCTGCAAGTGAAAACCAACAGCCAATGACAAGCTTGCATCCTATAGTTTTACCCCAGGTCTTTCTTCTCTAATCATTTAATAATCCGAGTTCCAAAGCTTCTGGAATATGGGAGTGGAGTGAAAGAGGGAAGGTAGGAAAAGAGGAGGTAAAGGGTCACGAAGTAAGAGAACTGGTATGTATTTTTTTAATTTTATTTTATTGTTTAAAATATTACAAACAGTGGTACATATATCTCCTTTTTCCCCCCAATGACCTTCTCCCAGCCTCCCCTACACCCTGGCACATGCCCTCATACCACCCCCACCCCCAGTGTCTTGTGTCCATTGGTTGTGCTTTATGCATGCATACAAGTCCTTTGATTGATCTCTTCTTCTCCTCCCCAACACACCTCAGACTTCCCCCTGTAGTTTGACAGCCTGTTTGATGCTTCTCTGCCTCTGTATCTATCTTTTTATTTGTCAGGTTATAATGTTCTTTATTTCCCATAAAT